GTTCCAGGTAAGTCTTGCACCCCTTGAAGATGTAGATCCAATCTGAAGCCTGACTTCCTAACCCGTGAATGGCAGCAGTGATCACATACCGTCCTGCGGGCGCGTACTTTAATTCTCCGTTTCTGGTTGAGAACAGCAGCGCTGGCTCTTTCTCACCTGAATTTGTTTCTCTCCTCCCTTTCTATTCTCTGCAGCCTCTCTTCTCGCTCCTGCCGCCGCCTCTCTCGCTCTGCCGCCAGGGACTCCTGGTGTTGCCTAAAGGATGAGCCGAGGAGACCACTCGCTGATGACCTGCAGACAGAAGGAGTGATGTTTAGTTCCTTGACCGGTAACAGGCCGTGACATTTGAATCAATCAGACCTCGGTTAGAACTGAAAGTCTGCTGCCTGCTAGGTAGCTCTCATGGGAAATTATACAGTACCACCGGTCTTATGTTTCAGGATCTTCGTCTGTAAGAGGAGATAAGCAACCGGCTTCGTGTGTGGGGAGGGAAGACAAAAAGGTGGTTAGTATATACTGTGCTTTGCCATATGCTTGGCATATATAAATAGTCTTCCAGAGTACGGGCTATTACGATCCAGAGAGTTCTAGAAACGTGCATAAAATGTGGACGCACATTATCCATATGTTAAAGGCCTGACTTTGATGAGCCGGGGTGAACTTCTGATCTGAAGTGGTTTACAATGCATCAATGGTTTATTATACCCTCAAAATAACAGGTCACTGTAAGCGAGGTACTGGCATGAGAGGTGAGAATGAAATCTGTTGAATTGGAAAATGTTCATACTCTTTTCTCTTGGTTCTGGCTCATTTTCAGCTCTTCTTGCTGATGAATAAGCAGGACAGCCTGAGGACTGCTCTCCAATGTCGTACATGCCATGAGGAGGCTGCTTTTCTCTGTGCTTTTGCACTGCCCAAGTTCTCTTTGAGCATGAGTTCATTTTAGACTCAGAAACCCCTTGATAATCTATGTACGAGGTTTTGATTTTTATAGTGGCATACAATGGGGTACCCACCATAAAAAAGGGAAAAGCTCCGCTGGGTGGAGCTTTCCTAACACGAGTTTTTCCCAACAAATGAGCATCCAGCAATTCACCCTGAGTCAGTGCGCCCAGTGGCGTCACCTGGGGAGGTCCTCTTTGGTCACAGTGAACTTTTTGTGAAAGCAGATTCACTTGACCCTCGTGGTTTTGTGATGACCGATTTAAGAGAACAGCGTGTGACTGCGAAATATTGTTTCCTGCTCCGGGAAAAGTGCTGCAGAAATTGTTGTGATGTTAAACACAGCTTACAGGGACGGCACTATGGGGAAAATGCAAGAGCACTGTGGTTTTCTTGTCTCAAAAAAA